CCGAGGTGCCGTCGATTCCCGAACTCCAACGCGCAAACCTCGATGATATCCTTTCGAATGACGACGATCTTCGTGCATGTATCTAGTTGATATTGTGGCCTTGACGTTGCGGAGCACCGACCTTGTCCCGTCCAACACTCGCTCTCCTCGACTGGGTCTGGTGTCGTCTACCCGTCTCACTATCACTGGTATGCTAAATATCAACAGATGCTGGAGGTCATGTGCATGCGGGGTAGGTGACCAAAGACGCGCTGCCTGCGTCGCTTTGCCTCGGTGCGCGATCGCTCTGTGGGTGATGCCGCTCATGTGTGCTGGTCTAGAGAAGGGGGAGCTCGATATTGCGCTTGTCGCTAAAGTCCACCAGAGCCGCGACCCGTGGTTTGACGACATGGCGGCGCAGCACGGCGTGGCACGTACGACGACAAGCCTCCTCTTCTGCTGCCTCGTAGCATTTGTTTGTAGAGTGTTTTCACGGCAGCAAACTCGCGCATTTCCACTCGATTCTGCAGAACGGACTCCACGTCATGAGTGGCACGCGCCACATGAGCTCTGGCAACGTGTTTGGGGACGGCATCTACTTTGCACAGAGCGCGCAGGTCGCCATGAACTTTGCCTACGGCACGCCAAGCCAGCAGTGGACACCCAGGTAATACCCTCCGTCGTCGTCGTCAGTACCATTGCGAGAACGGGTGGGTGTGGTAGCGGCGTTCTCTCCCCAGACGCGATTTGTGTCGCGGTCTGTCTCGTGCTCAGAGACCGCGACCGGCTCACGACGCTGCCGGGCGCGACGCCGGACGCCAAGTACTATGTGCTGACCGACCAGCGCGGCGTGCGCGTCGAGTACCTCGTGTTTTTGGAGCCCAAAGCCCGGTCGGCGATGCGCGTGCTTCTCGGGTCGCCGTGGGACGTGGCGATAAGCCTCTTTTGGTTTGCCGTCGCGTACGGCCTCTATAGGCTCTGCGACGCGACGTCGTAAGGCCGCTTGAACGTCTTTTGAAAATTCTACCATTGGACGAGCGTGGTCCTGATGACTATTGGATATCAGCGAGGCCCGAAATGCTGGTCCAGTGTTTCGAGCGCTTCAACGCTCGAGGCCAGGCTCGCAGTAGAATTGGGAACGACCTGATTCGTGCATGGCAGGTCGCTCGCTACCAGGTTGCTACTTCGTGCGTCCAAACAAATCGCTGGCTCTTCTCCTGCCGCCGTGATTCGAGTGTCTACTTTGCATTGACGCGATCATGCTCATGTTGCGACGCAGACAAGTACATGCCTCGAGGACAGCTCTACCTGTTACTATTCCCTCCCGCCATCCTGCTTGCATCGAGGCTGTCGATTTTGCGTCTGGTTACGCCATAACGAAAGTGTTGAAGTTCCACGCCTGGTCACGATCACGCGCAAGGAACAATGAACGGTCGCAACAGCGTCGGCCCATTTAACGCTTTGGCGAAGGAAATCCTCGGAAATGCGAGGCTCTTGGCGTCATGTCCACACACAGCTGTGCACTCCTGCCCATGGTGTTGACGCCGTTCAAGGGCATGTGGCTACTCGAAGCTGAGGTACCTACACGACCATCATTCACAGCCTACACTCTGATATTGCACCCGCGATCGTCCTGTCATTTTGCGGTTTGCTCGACACGGATGCAGCGACTCATTAGCGCGTACGCGACCTTTCTCGGTCTCCCGTTCGGACCGGAGCTCGCGTCCATGGTGTCGAGCCCGAGTGCGCTGCACGCAAGCAAGGTGGACGACGCGATTGCGTTCATTGAAGCCCAGCGCGAGCGCTTTCACTACCCGGGTCTCGCCCTCGCTGTCGTGCAAGGCAACCACGTGCGTTCATCGAGTACCATTGTACAATGGTCTCTGATCCTCGTGAATAGACGTTAATTGCCCGCGGCTTTGGCACCAAGCAGGCCGGCGTGAACACGGATCCTGTTGACGCCGACACGCTCTTTGAGCTCGGGTCCGTGTCCAAGACGCACGTGGCCATCGCACTCGCCAAGCTCGTCGACGACGGCAAGCTCCAGTGGCACGACACTGTCAAGCAGCACCTCCCGTGGTTCACGCTCCAAGACAAGTACGCTGAAGAAGTCACAACGATTGGGGACCTTGCGTCGCACAACTCGGTCTTTGGCGACCACGAGGGCGACGAGCCCCAGATGATGGGTGTGATTGCCTCGGAGCGCGAAGGTATCGAGCGGCTTCGGTACATGAACACGACGCGGAAGGTCCGACCGGGCTTTGCGTACTCGAACGTCGGCTTCAACGTCCTCGGTCAAGTCATTGGGGCCGTCTCGGGTACCCACTGGAGCAAGTACATGGCGACCGAGATCTGGCAGCCTGGGGCATGAAGTCGACGTATGGCAGCGCGGCAGACGCGCCAGCGTCGCGCCTGACGCATGGGCACAACACGTGCAACGGCGTCGTCATTGGCCCATACGCGCTGACGACGTCGAGCTTGGCCAAGCTCAGCCCCACCGTCCCGATGCTCGCAGCAGGCTCGATTGTCTCGTCGGCCAACGACATGGCAGCGTTCCTCAAGCACGTCTTGGCCAAAGGCGGGGCGACGTTCAAGTCGCCACAGTCGCTCGCGACCATCTACTCGGGCCACGGTATCATTGAGCTGCCCGACCCGAGCTCGCTGTTGGCCACGCTTGGTCTGGACGCGACCAATCTGGACGGCACCGGCGTTATGACGGGGTACGGTGTCGGTCCTATTGGCGATCTCTTCTTTGGCGAGCGCTTTGCGATGAAGAATGGCGGCAACAAGGCTGGGACGTGCACGACAGCCTATGTGCCGGCGCACGGACTCGGGCTCGTTTTGCTCGCCAACAAGGCGTCAATGGGCGGGAAAGCGCATGAGGCGACGCTTCTCGAGCTCATGCGCTCGTATGTGCTCGGGCTTTTCCTCGGGATTCCCAAGGAGACCTTGACCGACGTCTTTGAGCGCGGACTGGCGGTTGCGGACAAGAGCCCCGAATTGCCTTGCGACGCGCACTATTTCGAGCAGCTGCCGTGGCCAAAGAGCAATGTCACCGTACCCAGCACGAGCGTCCTTCCGGGCACATACCTTCTGGATACGTCGCCCGACTATTACGGCCCGATCGTCATCTCGCTTCGGAACGGCACTTTGCACTTTGCCTATGGCGCCATCAGCGTCGACCTCATTGCGATCAGCGACACGGAGTTCATTCTGCCGTACGACTTTATGGCGATAGAGCTCCGTCTTGCGTTCTCTGTACCAACGGCATCTACGCCCAAGCCATCGCTCAACTTTTTC